GAAACATGTCAGGAAGCTAACAGAAGAAAAGTGGCTAAAGCTAAAAGCTATCCAGAGCTCAGGGCTAGCTGCAGCCTCGGTATGAGCAACAGAGTCACAGACACGAGTGAAAAATGGGTCAGTGGCCTGTTATCTGGTGGAGTTATAAACATCCACTTCATAAATCTGCTGCTTTGCTTTGGCCCACCTGGTCAGGTGAACGTGAGCGCAGGAGCCGAGCTCTTTACCTTCAGCTGCCTCAGCGACACGAGATCCTGAACTTCCTGCAGTTTGGGGGGAATGTGAAGTCGGATCATTCCTGTTGTTTCACAGCTTAGAGCGCCAGAGGCCCGAGGGTCAGACTTCAGAGCAGGACGTCCAATGAGCAGAGGTGGGCGTGGTTAGACAGCGCCTCGATGCGGTCGCGGGTGGGCGTGGGAACATAGACGCAGTGATAACTCGGGAGCTTCACGCTCAGCTCTGTTGCCGACAGGTGCATCAGGTCCCCCCACCCGTGTCCGCTGAGAGCCGCCACCTGAGACTCGGACGGGTTTGATTTTTGATTTTGTTGTTGGAAAACTTGTGATTGCAGCTCGTTCACATCAGCAACACGAGCTCGTCATTAAATCAGGACTTTATGCCGCTGCTGCTCGTCTGCTGTTAGCGTCTTTTTACTGATCTTCAGTTTGAACTGAGCTCGCTGGGCTCTGGGAGGTTTCTGACTAATTTTTGCAAAACAGTCTTTTATTCTTAAAGCTTTGAGGCCTTTTTCCTTTAATAAAGTAACAATAATAATAATTCTAAGCGTGTAAAAACGAGGCGTTCGCGTCTCAGCTCGTCCGAGTTCAGTAGCTCCGCCCTGCGTGAGGTTTAAGCTCAGATCACTCTCACTGCATCAGTTTTAAAAAGAAATCACCACCGCCACTTCCTGCATCACCCGCCGTCACGTCTGCCTCGCCGCTTCCTGTATCCGTGGATCAATAAAATAAAAGACTGAGGATAAAACAGATGGAGACGTGTCAGAGCGAGCATCGGTCACTTTATGATTTCCTCTTTTCTTTCTTTAACTTTTGTCTGGATGATTCTGACGCCGTTCACCCAGACGCGCTCTGATTGGTTTGTGTAGTTAGAAACAGGAAGTGATTGCTGTGACGACACATGATTGTTCCATGTTTTTCTTTTTTGTACATTGAAGTGTTTTTTCTGTTTTTCTTGAGTTCTTTAGACTCGCAGGGCGGCTTCGGCGCCCGTCAGCGTCTCTGCTCGTTCACCTGCTGCGTGCGTGATGTCAGGATGATGATGTCATATGTTATTCTAGCTTTCTTTGAAACACGCTGGCAGTTACGGGTTTGAGTTTCTCTTCTTTGGACTCGTGTTTCTCACCTCACGGCGAGCAGAACGACCTGAAGAATTAAAATAACCCAAAAAACTATTTAACATATTTTTATCCTTGTTTTTCTTTGGACTCATTGTGAGAGTCAGACGCGTGTTGGGAATTGTACCTCCGGCAGTTTGAGAAATACGAGCCCAGAGGTCAGAGGTCAGACTCGCTGACGAGCAGCCGCCCTGCTGCTGTACATACTGAACCACTGAATGACTTCATGCTAGTTGCTGTTGTTTTCTTCTGTGGATGCAGCTGCTGTAACAGATGAATGGTGACGTGAGTGATTAACCAGGAGTTACAATAAAGAGCATTTCTATTTGGAGAAAAAACTCTGCATCACGTCGTCTTTGCACTGCAAACGTTTCTTTAAGACAAAAACATCCGAGTGTGTTAAACGAGCAGCGAGTCAGCCGCACTTGATTAGGGTACCAGGTAAGCACTATTTAACTGGTAGGCAGTCCAGTAGAGTCCAGTAGAGTCCAGTAGAGTGTGAAAACAGATGGGATAAGATGCATGTCGTGCCTTTTGTGTACTTGACTCCTCTCCTTGTGTCCTCCCACCAAAGATGCAGAGGAGGCGCCTTGTTTAAATAGACGTTTGGCACAACTGGATCATAAACGAGCACTGGGAGAGTGGCTCGCTTCACAAAGGAAGATGAAAGTACAATATTAGAGAAGTACGAAGAGTTTAATCACATAAATGAGTGAGAGCAGCACAGCTGCTGCAGAGGTCGTGTGTGGGAGGAAATATCAGCTTACAGACGGTCTCAGTAACTCAGTGAAATAACAAGTTTGCTCCTGTTGCTCTGAGATTGAAAGGATTTCCTAAATCACATGTACATAAAAAACACTTAAATGCTGTTCTACCATCAGAAGAAGAGATAATTACACTCTATCGATATGCCACAAACGTGTTCCTGTGACTTTTTGTACAAACAAATGATTTTACAGGTCAGTGTGGACGTTCACCTGAGAACAGCAAAGACGTGTTGTGGTGATAGACAGGAAGCCGTTATTACACTGTGCTGCTCAGTACATGCTGAAAACTGTTATTTAATTAAACCATAAAATAAATGTGCTATTAAAAAATTAAAACATCAGTGTGACCTTAAAAACTATCGCTGGATAATAAAACACATTCATACACTGAGTGGAAACGATCCACACGAAGCCGTAAAAGTACAAAAGTAAATTCAGACATTTGGATGTGAAAATATTTCTTTGTAGCGACGATTTTAGCGCCCCCTCTGGTCACAAGTGGTCACTGCTCATTGCTGTAGTTTTTATTCTACTTGCAGCTGAGTTTTGGTGCCTGTCTCTTTAAGGCCCCCCTCCCTAAACGCCCACTTTCATCTGATTAGCCGTTTCTGGAAGCCTGTGGAGGGGCAGCTTATTGTCTTCCCTTTTTTTGATAAGGAGGGTTTGTAAATTTACTAAAAAATAGTGAATAAGCATGAACACAGTATTATTAGCTAGCTGTTAGGTTTTTTGTAGCTTTTTAGCTTTACTAAAAAAATATCACTTCCTGTTGTTTTTTTTTTAAATGTAATGGTTTGGTTGGTTTAATGATCCAGGAACTGGCCTCCCAGCCCAGTGTTCATTCAGTGGTGCTGGTTTCAGTCATTATGCAAATGTCTTGTTTATAAGGTAGAAACCTGCAGTCAGCTGAGACTGAAGGAGTCACCTGATGATGACGAAACGTTTCTCCCTCTGAAAACGTCCAGATGAACAGAATCAACAGAGGTTTCTCTGAATTCTGTTCATCAGCTGCTGTTTATCGAAACTTTCACAGCTCAGTAAGTCTCTGTTTAGCATGTTAGCTAGCTAAAATACCAACATTAGCACTGAACACAGTATTATTATCTAGCTGTTAGCTTTTCAGCTTTATTTAAAAAGATTATTTCCTGTTCTTGGTTGGAAATGTAAACTTTTAAAATGGGCACGAACGAGAGATCAGCTAAGAGATCGACAGCAGCGAACGCAGCACTCGTGACCAGCTTCATGTCGGGCAATAAGGTTTTTCTTGTTTTTTTTTTATTATGTTAGATGTGTTAAAATCCTTTGGCACACTCTCCCTGCACCATCTCTGAATAAAATATGATAGCTAGAAAAACAAAACAAAAAAGCAGTCCACACTAGTTGATGGGATGTGATATTAGCCGTGCAGCCGGTGTCAAGCAGCTGCTTTAGTTTCCCATTCCTAAAAGAATAATGAGAAATAGTGAAATTAGTGACAAAGGTTCCTCTGAATTGCTGCTGTTTTCTGCTATTTATTAAAAATTTCACAGCTCAGTAATTCAATCTCTGTTTAACATGTTAGCTAAAATGCTAACACTAAACACATTATTATTATTATTTAGCTGTTAGCATTTTTAGCTAATCGATTATTAAATACTATCAGTGAGTGACACATTCTAGACCTTGTAGTACCATATCACCCTATTAGAGCACTTCGCTCTCGCTCTGCAGGCCTACTTGTTGTTCCTAGAGTATTTAAAAGTAGAATGGGAGG